CAGCCTCTCCCCGCACGGTGAGTGGGGCCGCGGCCCCGGGCATCCCCATCCCCGGGACCCGCACTGTCCCCGGGCATCCCTGTCCTGGGACCCGCACTGTCCCCGGGACCCACATCATCCCCAAGCATCCCTGTCCTGGGACCCGCACCATTCCCGGACATCCCTGCCCCCAGGACCCGTACCGTCCCCGAGCTGCCCTGTCCCCAGGACCGACGCTGTCCCCAGGCATCCCTGTCCAGGGATTCACACGGTCCCTGAGCATCCCGCTCCTGGGACCGGCACTGCCCAGTGCTCTCACTGGCTCTCGGGGCTCAGGGTGGCTCTGGCTGCTTTCCCCCAACCCTCAGGCTCCCGCGGTGGGGGCCATGCCCTAGCAGCACGCGAGGGCACCGTCCCCTCTGCCGCTGGCACTCCCTGGCAAAGCCAGCAGTCCCCTCACCGTGCCCCTTGGGTTTCAGGCTCCCTGCAGAATGGCTCCCGCTGGGCACTCTCCTTCGACATGTCCTCCCTCTCCAGCAGCCAGGAGGTGAGTCTGGCCGAGCTCCGCGTCCGCCTGCCCGGCCTCCCCCCAGCCCGCGACATCTCCCTGGACATCTACCACAGCCAGCGGCGGAGGTGCCGGGGTGGTGGGACCTGCGCCCACCAGCTCCTCCTCGGCAGCGCGGCTCCAAGCCGTGGCCCCTGGGCACCACGGTCCCATGGGAAGGGAGCAGTGGGAGGCGAGTGGGTTGGCCACCCTGGCCACTGCCATGACACACTCGCCCTCTTGGAGCGACACTAGCCACAGGGAGCCAGCCCTGCCCCAGGACGTGACGGACAGAGTCCTGCTGCTCGTCTTCTCCAGGGACAAGACTCCAGGAGACCACAGCCTCATCAGGACAGCAGAGACCTCCAAGCACGTCATGCGTGACAGCAGCTCCCAGGGTGTGGGGACCCGCCGGCATCGCAGGAACAGGAAGGAGAAGCAAAGGATCAAAGTGAGCGACGCTGCTGCCGCCGCCCCAGGGGAGGAGGGCAGGTCCTTGTGCAGGAGGGTGGACATGATGGTGGATTTTGAGCAGACCGGCGGGGGCAGCTGGATCGTCTACCCCAAAAAGTACAACGCCTACCGGTGCGAGGGGCAGTGCCCATCGCCCGTGGACGAGACCTTCAAGCCCACCAACCACGCCTACATACAGGTAAGAGGGGTTTGCTGCCTCCACTCCCCCCGTGCACCCCCAGCCCCGCCGGCCCGCGGCAGGGGGTGATGTTTGCCCTTCCCGTGTCTCCCCACAGAGTTTGCTGCAGCTCTACAAGCCCAACCAGGTGCCCTGCCCCGCCTGCTCCCCGGTCAGGATGAGTCCCCTCTCCATGCTCTACTACGAGAAGGGCGAAATTGTCGTCCGCCACCACGAGGACATGATCATCGAGGAGTGCGGCTGCAACTGAGGCCAGCTCGTCCCCTGCTGGGAAGAGGCACATCTCTGCCCAGAAATTGGCCCCAAGGACTGGCCACCCAACCCACGACCAACACACAGACCGGGGCATCGCTGAGTCCCCGCCAACTCCAAGTCCTGCGTGCCCGTGGGTTGGTGAAGCTCTGGCTGTGCCAGGGGAGGAGTGGGGTGCCTGGGTGCCGGCAGCTCTGCAGTGCTGCGTGGCTGCAGTGCACGGACGGATCCAGGCTACGCATGGGGAAGGCCATCGGACACCTCGCTGCAGCACCGAGGCAGTGGGTGCCTGGTGGCTGCATTTAGCCAGGATGGCACCACGGTGCTGGCAGCCGGTGTGTGCCAGGGCAGCCGAGGGCTGGTGCTGCTCTGCAGGGCCAGGAGCTGGGGCACCAGGCTGGAGCCGTGGCAGCATCACTCCCTGCCACGACACACTGCCCACAGCGATGCTCCTTTTGCCTGTGACAGGTACCACTGGGAGCTGCGGGATCTTGGTGGGACACTGCAGCACCAGTGTCCGGCCACGCTGAGCATCTGCACTGTCGGGGTTTTCAGGGTTTAGGCATTTCCCCTAAGACCTTTATTATATTTCTATTAAAACTCTATCAGATTTCTATAAAAACTCTATCAGATTTCTATCACAATTAAGCCAAGTTAATGTGTTAGCCCAGCATCCAGAGCCCGCCTCCGGCAGCGCGGCACGGGCAGCAGCAGGCAGGGGTTCATCTCAGCCTGCTCCTGCCCTGAGCTGTGGGGTGAGCACGGCCCCGGGAGGAGCTGGCTGGCAGCGGGCAGGGAGGCAGCGACCCCCATCATACGCACTCCTCGCCCAGGACTACCCAGGGAATGATGCAAAGCACCCGGGGCTCCCGCATCCCTCTCCAAAGCATCATGCGGTCACCAAGAGCCCGAGAGAGGTTGCACGGGCAAGCGAGGTGTCCCTGGAAATAAGGTAGCCCCAAGGCCGGTCTCGGTGGGTCGGAGCCCCCACCAGCCCTCTACCTGCCCTGAACACCTCAGCTTATGTGCTGCTTTCCTTTGTAAAACGATGGCTTTGCTCAAAGCTTTTCCACCACTCGCTGCATGGGGCGGTACCAAAAGGGTCGCGGGTGTATAATTCATCAATAAATTATATATATTAAAAATTCCTGGTAGATTCTACTGATTTCCACAGCCCATTTTTGCTGTGAAATGGTCTTTGGGGTGCAATTCCCCCCAGCTCTCTCTGCATGTGCTGCACCCAGAGGCTCACCCTGCCCCGACATCGTCTCCGGCTGCAGCCTGCTCCATTGCTGCCTGGCAAAAGGCAACGTTGGGTGGTGACACCCAGAGCAAGTGGGCTGCTACCATAACCTGCTGGAGCGAGGGGGTCCCCCTGAACGGTGCAAAAGATGCTCAACAGCTCCGTGAATGGGAAAGTTGGTGTGGGAGAACGAAGAAGCTGTTCCTTCCCCTCTAGAGCAAGCGAGGAAGCACCTGCAGGCGTTGAAGAGAAGGGCTAAGGGGACTTTCCACCTTTATTTACCCCTTGGGGATACGGGGAAGGGCCATGTTCTCTAGTAGCAATGAATTTTAAGCCATGCACAGTGGCCGGTGCAGGCAGCTCCCCTTTGGGTCACCCACCCGAAGGGGTGATGGGGCTGGGAGACGGAGCAGGAGAGCTCCAGCCCCAGCTGATGCCCCGGGGTCTCGAGTGCCCCCAGGGATGACCATGCTCCCCTGCCAGCCCTGGGGGGGAAGCTCCTCCTGGGGCAGCGAGGGTCAGTCCCCACGTTTGGCCAAACTCGCCCCGTTGCAGCCCCGGCTGTGGATGGGGACAGGGGACACGCGTGGGGACCCACTGCTGGCCCCCAGCTACGGCCAGCACAGCGGAGGGGACGAGTGGGA